CGCTGCGCCGGAGGCGGCAGCGCTGCTTCACGATCTGCGGCTGCTGCTGCACAGAAGAGGAGGAGGAGGAGGAGGAGATGGAAGAGGAGGAGATGTCGGCGGAAATTTCACACGGGCGCATCTTCCTCCCAAACCATCGTGGAGGTGGAGTGGACGGGAGGTGGTGTAGAAACGGGGTCAGGGGGCGTCGAGTTGAGGTCACCCTGTGCCTGGCTGCGTTCGGTTTCTGAATGCGCCCTTCGCTGCGCCTGTACTGCTGTTGTTCACCAGGAGGTGTCGACTCTTTCCGAGGCTGCAGTCCAACACCGCCCCCACACGTGGGGCCCGTGGTGCCTGCTATGACGTCACTATCATCATCAGTGATGAACTTGGTTTTCATTATGACTGTGCACAAACACAGGCTGCTTTACAGGAGGTCACTGTAAATCAGGACATACCACCTGGGGATCAGGGGTGTTTCCGTGACATTTGGGAGGGTGGGGGCAATTAGTTGGGGCGAGGGGGTGTTAAAGTTTTAGTTAAAACAACAAAGTGTGTGTTTTCTCATATGTTATAATTATTGAAATAGTAAGATAGTAAAATAGAGCTGTAACTAAAATGTAGTACAAGTGTCACTAGTAGTATTTGGGTTCCCTCTAGTGGTAGGCTATGGGAATCAAACATCTACCATTTATGTGTTTCATACTATTTGAGGAATAATGACTGGGAAAAGGATAATGTTTCTTACGTTATTAATACATTTCTATTTTTTTCTATTATTTGTTTGTTTGTTTTTAGGCCAGGGCAAAGGTCAACCAGAAAGAGAGGATCAGTTTCTTCTTCTCTAACTATTTTAATAATCCCTACAGCATCTATGACTCTGTTTTTTTGTTTTTTATTTGTTTGGGGGTTTTTTTGTTCCGCTGTAAGTGCTCCAGCGCCCCCCAGGGGAGAAGTACCTCATTTAAAAAACCATTTAAAGTATGAACCAGATGGTTGAAAACGAACCCTAGTCTATGAATATAAATACTTTGTAGTATTTTCAGGAAGTTTGCTTTGCTTTTGAAAAGTCTTTCCGTCGCTGAGAACCCGGTGACCTGGTAAGAACGCGAACCCTAATTTTCTTCTGTCAAAACAGAGTTGTTTTCGCCCCAGCCTGGCCCCTGAGGGACGTTCACTGCTGCTTTTAACCCCGCGTGTTTTACTGGCACACATTCCACTGCAGCCGTAACTTCATTCAGATGTTTACCTACGACAGCCCTACAACACGGAGCAAAACACGTCTGTAAATCCCTTACTGGGCCCCCCAGACCCCCCCTTCCCCCGAACAGGACACCGTTAGTTTGGGTAGAGAACTAGTGGCTGGATCCAGTAGCAGCAGCATCACTTAGTGGCGCTCCCTGGAATTGAAGGAATTTGATTTAATCTGACTGTCTCTGGTGTTTTGTGATTTTTTTTAAAAACATAATTTAATATATTTAATATTCTTAGCATTTAATTTTGACATTTTTTGTTATAAATTAAAATTAAAATGTTCTATCATTTATTAAAGTTAATTCTGTTTTACTTGAATGTTACTTTTTTTTACAGTTCTTGTGAATGGCGGTGGAGTAGAGTCAGGAATGACGTCCTTAAATTTAATTTTTTTTTATTTTTAATTTGACTAATGTTTTATTCTTGTATGTCATTTAAAAAAGACAATGGAATGAAATGTATAAAAATAGAAAACAAAACTGTGTTTTGACATGTTCCAGCAGGAAACCACAGAGTTTTAGTCCTCAGTCCAAAGTCCTGACCAACTGAACCAAACGGAACCATAATCCAGGTCATTACCATCACCTGTGGATCCTGGACTGCAGCACCGCTGACTGTCAGCTGCTCGTTAGTTCTCCGGCCGTATTTTACACGTAAGTACTCGTTCTGCTGGAGAATACTTTCAAATATTACTCCCGTCCACAACTATGATAACTGTGGAAAACGTGACGTAATAAAAAAACAAACGCGTGTGTATATGTTTGCATCCATAAAATACTTTGTATGTTTCAGCGTTGAATTGTGTGTCTTCCCGGTTTCCAGGTATCTTCTTCCCTCTAGTGGCCGTTGGCTGATCGTGCAGGTAAAAAAAAGAGGTAAGAATCTGTGGGAAAGATTTCGTTTCTCTGTTTGAATCCAATCTAGTTATTGACAGTGAGATCGTTCTTAAAATGTTTCTCAATGTAAAAGTTAATACTGGATTGGTGACGTTATGTTTGTTGTTGGTAAGGAAACTAAAACAAATAGTACAATTGGTTTAAACCTTGAGCTTTGTGAAATATATATAAAAGATAACAGGTTAAAATCTGATATTTATCCACATACTAATGTGATGTAGCAGTCAGTAGTCAGGATAAATGTGGTTTTATGTCGGGAGCCACACAGAGAAGATGCTAGAAAAAAAGTTATCAGGTTGAACATACTGTATATTATACACACCCTGCAATACCGATGCCGACCCCTAGGGGTCATAGCCACACTGCGGAAGCAGGGCAGGAGCTGAGAGGTAGCTTTAAATCAGCAGACAGAGAATATGTTTAATTAAGATAATGTTAAAAAAAAACTTAAGTTAAATTTTTGGGATGGTTTGAGAAACTCGACTTAAAAAACTGTGAAAATTCTTGGAAATCCAAAGATTTATTTTTTTGTTTTTGTCAAAAAAAGATCAGAGTAAATGTTAAAATGTCTCAAAATTTGTTTTTCAGACTTGGTAAAAACGAACCAAAGTTGAATTTAAAGAAGTTTTTAAAAAGTATAAATATAATATTTGAAAAAAACAAAACAAACAATCCTTACTTTCAGGACGTAAACAAAAAAAAAAAATCCTTACTTTCAGGATGTAAACAAAAGAGGTTTGAAAAATAAAAAGTATGAGAGCAGGTCAGGAGGGTTAGGGTTTAGTTGTCCTTTGTTCTGTTCTTTCACTTTAGAAAAAAAAAGGGTTTTGTTCAAAAGCTGTTTTAATACAACATTAAAAGGTTTGTAGTTTTGTACAGAACAACAGAGGTCGTATTACAGAGCAAATACACAGCTTATCACCGGCCGTTCATTTGTGGGATCAGAACCCACCTGCCTCAGCAGGGCAACTCTAAAGTTGCCTGACCTTGACCTTGACCATCCCTCTCCTGAGGTTCTTCTTCTCAAATCTTTTAATATTTTTATTTTATTTTCGTTAACATCAAAGAATCCCCAGCACCCAACGTTTATCTCTACCTTTGGACAAACTAACGTCTTCATTCAAGAACCCGTCCTCATTTTAAATATCGTTTCCGACCGTTTATTTCAAGGACATTTTTGCCTCAAGAAAATTCAGCGTCTCCTTTCGTTCGGCGCGCACTTGGACGCTCGTGCCCAGCAGAGGGCGCCCCGAGCCTGTCAAACGCAGCCTCACCGTTCGACCTTCCTCCTGTCGCTCCTCGCTCCCTCCCCTCTCCTCCCCTCTCCTCTCCTCTCCCCTCCCACTCGCAGCAGTGCAGGAGGAGGAGGTTGACTCCACTGACTCCATCCAACTGCCGTGCCCATCTGATTCCTCTAATTGCTTCCTTCCTGCGGTTAATTGGTGCCAATCGGCGCAGCCTCGGCTTCCGCGGTGCCGCATCTCAAGGTAAGGGCGAACCGTCACTCGGTTCGTAGCTTTACTGCACGCAAATGTCTGAAAGCTCTTGTTGCATGTGTGCGTCTGGAAGTCACCTGTCAGAGGTAAAAGGGCTGCACCTGCTCGTATATTCTACTCTTAAATTGCTGACAAACCTGGCAACGCGGCGTTCGTGGCTCGGATTACAGATAAACGTGCTATTTATTTCATTGTTGTGTTCGTTTGTTACGTTTTAGACCGTTTTGTGACTTGTTAATAATTTTGTTTTTGGTGGAAAAAAAATGTTTAAAAAAAAAAAAGATTGTCGTTTGACGCGTTGAATTATTAAGATGGGAAAAAAAACAAAAATCCCTGATTAACTGTGACTACCAGAGTGGTTTTCTCTCCAGTCAATGACAACTCCACTGTACTACTACTAACCCCGCCCACTCCAACCGAAATGAAGCGTAAAATTATATCATTTACACGTTTGAGCAGCTTTTAAAAACGACCAAAATGTCGCTTATCACAACCGTGGTGATAAGAATTATTATTTAAAATTTAAAATAATAAATAATGAGGGTCTATGTTGTTAAACGCGGCCGAGAAGTGTTTCGCGGGAAAGAAAAAAATCAGTGGAAGGACGTGAAGGGGTGGGAGGAGGGAAGTTAAGCTGTAGTACTTATTGGAGGCACAGCCCATTGGTGTAGTGATTCTCCATTCGCTCGGGGCAGAGTGCACTTCGTCCCCGGTTTCTGCTCCGGCTTTTTTTTTCTTCTTCTTCTTCTTCTTCTCGTCTTCTTCAAACGCTGCATCCGCTCCATGTTGGGCTTCACCGCTGAAGGATTTAATGCACTATTCGCGCTGGAATAATTTTGCTTTTTCCCTCCGTTTTCCCGGTGCGGCTCTACTTTCCTGCTGCAGTTTGATTTGTATGTAGAAGGTAAGAAGACACTATGGCGTTCACTCACGCACATTATGTTCTGTTAGGGTTTTTTTTTTTCTGTGGATGGACTGTAGTTTAATGTGATCACTTGGTGGTCAGGGTTAAAGGCGAGGTTTATTTTTATTTTTATTTTTTTATTATTATTATTATTTTTTTTTTTTTGCACATCGGTTTGTCAGTTGCGCACCTGCTGCTGCTGCTGCAGCCCTCGTACCGGGCGTGCGTAAAAGCGCCTCTGTTTTGGAGTGACCATGTGATTTGTGCATGGACACAGTCGGTGCCAAAACAGCTGCCACGCTTCACATCTCAGCGAACCGTCAACTAAATTTTTTTTTGTGTGTGTGTGTGTGTCCTATTTCCAGACAGTTTCATAAACAAGGACCCAGGTCAGGACTCTCACGATGCCGCTGAATTCGACTTTAACGAGTAAAAACTATGACTACGACTACGACTCCATGCAGCCGTTTTTCTACTACGACAACGAGGAGGAGGACTTCTACCCGCAGCAGCACCAGCCTCCGGCTCCCAGCGAGGACATCTGGAAGAAATTCGAGCTGCTGCCGACGCCTCCTCTGTCCCCCAGCCGCCGGTCGTCGCTGTCCAGCCTCTTCCCCTCCACGGCGGATCAGTTGGAGATGGTCACCGAGTTCCTGGGCGACGACGCAGTCAACCAGAGCATTATCTGCGACGCAGACTACTCCAAGACCTTCCTCAAGAACATCATCATCCAGGACTGCATGTGGAGCGGCTTCTCCGCCGCGGCCAAGCTGGAGAAGGTGGTCTCCGAGCGGCTCGCCTCTCTGCACGCCGCCAGGAAGGAGTCTGCAGCGCTGCGGGGGGGGGGGCGGCGGCGGCTGCCGTCGCTGCTGCAGACGGGGACAGTCTAGGGTCTGGAGCCGGCGCTGCGTCTGCGGCGTGGAGGCTGAACAGCAGCTACCTGCAGGATCTGAACACGTCTGCGTCGGATTGCATCGACCCCTCCGAGGTCTTCCCCTACCCCATTGCAGAGACGCCCAAGCAGACGGAGGGGGCGCCGTCTAGTAAAGACCTGGTGCTGGACACGCCGCCCAACAGTAGCGGCAGCAGCTGCAGCGACTCAGGTGGGTGGTGGATCTGTTGTCACGCCGTGCAGTCACACCCCTCACTGCTGTCAGGGAGCTGTGGTCCTTGGCTCTCAGTTTTTACTGCAGTAATTGAATTGGTCCAATTACTTAGTTGAATGCATGCAATTTGCAGCTTTGTGTGCAGACACGCTGCAGTGTCATGACTCTGCAGGGCTGCACGTTGGCCAATTAACTGATGGCCTGCAGACAGGGCTTTTATTTATCTTGGTAACCCGTTCTTTTAATTGCAGCATTTTTGATTTTGTGCTTGTTTTTTTTTTTCCATTGCAGAAGATGATGATGGAGATGGAGATGAAGATGAGGAGGAGGAAGAAGAAGAAGAAGAGGAGGAGGAGGAAGAAGACCAGGAGGAAGAGGAGGAGATTGATGTGGTCACAGTAGAAAAGCGGCAGGCGGTCAAACGCTGCAACCCCAGCCCAGTGGAGAGCAGGCATCCCAGCCCGCTCGTGCTGAAGAGGTGCCACGTCTCCACCCACCAGCACAACTACGCCGCCCATCCATCCATGAGGCACGAGCAGCCGGCTGTCAAGAGGCTGAAGCTGGAGAACAGTAGTGGAGGAGGGGGAGGCGGGGGAGGCGGAGGCCACAGCAGGGTCCTCAAACAGATCAGCAGCAACCGCAAGTGTCTGAGCCCCCGGACGTCCGACACGGAGGACTACGACAAGAGAAGGACTCACAACGTTCTGGAGCGCCAGCGGAGGAACGAGCTCAAGCTGAGCTTTTTCGCCCTGAGGGACGAGATTCCCGAGGTGGCCAACAACGAGAAGGCGGCCAAGGTGGTGATCCTGAAGAAGGCCACGGAGTGCATCTACAGCATGCAGTCGGACGAACAGAAACTGATCTCCCTCAAGGAGCAGCTGAGGAGGAGGAGTGAACTTTTAAAGCAGAGACTGGCACAGCTGCAGGGCTCCCGCGCTTAAGAAGTTCCAGTTGGACTTTTTGTTTGTTTGTTTTTTCACGTTCACAAGACTTGGGCTGTACAGTTACAGTTGTTGTTGTTGTTGCATGCAAATGCAAAGCGGATTAAGTTGTTTGGAATCTGGTTTGATTTCAATGTTTAAACTGCCTCAGTAGAAGTGATGGGTGGATGAAATATTTAAAAGTTTATTTTTATTAATAAAATATTGAGAAAAAAAAATTTGGACTGTCCCGTTTGGGGGTCCATACTAAAATATACATTTTTATGTTTTTTTGTATATAATTAATATTTCCTAAGAAAATGTATTTTTGGATCTCAATTGTCTGGATGTTCAGACCCAGTGTTTGTTTTTTCCATTATGTTCATAGATTCTTTTTGAAATATAAAAATACTGTTTTCTCTTGAACTGTCGTCCCTGTTCTTACTACACACACAAACACACACACACACTGTACATTAGTATGTGTTGGGAGGTGCAGCTGAACGGGGAGTGGGGCGGGGCCACACGTACAGATTACATAATTAGAAGACTGACACTGACTGGTGAAGACTTAACGATCCTCAGATGAAGATGAGCCCACTGACCCCCCCTTCCCCCCCCACTCACCTCCCAGAGGTAAAATATGAAGTGCTGTAAATGTCCTCTCCACAACATGTAGGTTTGATGAAGTCTTCAAAGCTCAGCGGTGAAGAAGCGGCGATGGTTTATGTCCAAAACATCGCGTTAAAATCCTATAGTAGCTGCTGTGGAAGAACCACTTAATAAAGACGTGTCCTCCAGAACTGACAGTAAATTCTCAGCCAATCACTCGAGTCCGACGGTTCTGCGACTGTCAACACTTGGGGGGAAAAAAGATCAGTTTCTGTCATTTTACCAGCCAATAAAATTCACCAGGAGCCACAGAAACATTTGAACAATTTAAGTGAGGGCAGTAACGCAGTATATAAAGTTTTAAGTACTGTAGTAATACCACAGATGTATGGAGAAGTATGTAAAGAAATGCAGGAAAAAAAAACACCCCCGAAAATTACTACCTTCAGACCATGAATCCAAACTGTGGCTTCAGTGTTCAGTATGACGCTGGTACAGTGACCTGGAGTCAACACCGCTGCCTTACATACAGGTTTCACCCTTGATCTTGAGCTAAGAGGAGAGTGACTGTTGTTTCGCTGTTAGCAAGCAAGCTGCAACTTCGGTGCGATGTGTAAAATAGTTTAAAGATATGTGTGAAAACAAAAACGCAGCTGCTTGAATTACCGCTCTGATGTTTTTAGTTGTAGTCTGACTAAATTTGGTTACATCAGAATACGGCTGAGGGGCCACGTGTGGCTCAGGGACCATAGGTTGGAGAGCCCTGCTTTACAGTAAGGCATACCAGAACTGAACGGCTCTGTTGTAATCTCTTCAGCTGAAGGAAACTGAGATCATCCTCCTGGATAAACACTGATAAGAACCACTTGTTTAAGATGACCAAACAGCAGGAAACGCTGGTTGATAGCACACAGCTTTTGAGCAGAGGAATTGCACCAGAAATTTCTCAGTCACTCGGCCCATTTCCACATCAGGATTCCAGTATTTAATGGGATTTTCCCAGAGTTTTTCAAAACGTTTCACTCCTGGTCTCACAGATTTCTCACCCCTGACTGAAAAACTGTATTAATTATCCTTTCTCCGTGGGTTAACGTAGCTGTTTATAATCTGTTGAAAAACTGTATTAATTATCCTTTCTCTGTGGGTTAACGTAGCAATAATCTGCTTGGTGAAACTGGTGGGGTGGGTTTACACCAGACTGTCTTCCTGACACAACCATCCACATTCTCTGCTCCAGCAGCTGAGAACAGGACTCAAACCTCTCCCCCAGTTACACATGTGGAGCTTGGTGTGTTTGATATCGAGGATATGATTAAATAAACAATAATAATGAGTGAAACAGGTCTAGCAGCTGGATAAAGTGCTCTTCATGGTACAAACTCCACAGCAGACTGTCTGTGTTTACTGCCGTCACAGGAAGAGAAGTCCATATATGGTCACGCAAATCAGCTAATATCACAACTTAGATAGGATTGAAGGCAAATAGCAAAACAGATTTGTTTATTGTGGTTTTTATAGCTACTAAAGCTTGACTTTTTAAGAGCTTGTAAACACAGGCTTCCCCCGGAACAGACCGTAAACTTTCACCGCACGACTGTACGACACGGAGGAGGAAAAATATACAGTATTTTCAAATGTGAAATGTTTGGCATCGGAATTATTAAAATCCTCAGATGTTTTTTTTACTTATCATCAGCTTCAGGAAACCAATAAAACTCCTGCTATGATTAATCACGCCGTCAGATAATAGATTTCTCTGTCATATTTCGGATAAGATGAAAGAACAACAAGGTGTGTGCGAGTGAGAGCGGTTGGTTTATAGTTGCATTCCATGGAGCTGGATCATAGCTGCGATAAAAGCCAGTATATGATGCTGGGAATCATTAACTGAACCAGCTCTGTTGGCCAACCGTGAATGCACACACTAGGAATTTGTTATTTGTTATTAAGTGTGGTTGTAAAACAGCAGAGGAAGCAGAGAGAGAGAAGAGGTAACACGTCAGAGGTGGTGGTTGGAGAACAACACCTCCTTCAGTATCTCCATCTCCAGCTGCATCATCTCCATCATTCCTTTATCTTATCTCTATCTTTATTATTATTTTTCTAACTCAACTTCTCAGTGCCACTGTCTCCAAGCTACAGGTTTAAATACTGTCCTGTAGTGGGTGAAATTTTTGTTTTTTTAAATTTTATTTCATTTAAATACTGTCCTGTTGTGGGTGAATGTTTTTTTTAAAAATTATACTGTCCTGTTGTGGGTGAATGTTTTAAAAAAAATGTATTTCATTTAGGTTTTATTGTTTTTTCTTTACATATTAAGCCACAGTGAACATTGGTGAACATGTAAACATGTAAACATGCCACAATTAGCCAGAAGGCTGTAATCGTGGCAGGTAAGATATCAACACCAATACGTTGTTGTTGTTCGTTTGCTGTGGCAGCGCCCCCTGCCTGTATTTTCTCTTTTTCTAGAATGTTTCTAAGTCAAACCATTTACTCATTAAACATTGACCAGGTCAATTCAAGTTGGCAACTTAGAGAATGTTTAACTTCCGCATATTAGTGAAAACGCTAGCTATGTTAGCTAAGCTCAGTTAGCTAAGCTGCTAAGAATGCTAAGGTGAAAAATGGGAAAGTTGGAGGAGAAATAAAACTCGATAAATCAAAAATATTGTAAGATATTGAACAATTGTAACGTCTATAACAATACAGGAAGAATAAAAGAGCCTTTAGCGTAAATATATAATCGTTAATGTTGTTTTTTTTCTTTTATATTTGTGAACGATTTGTTTTTCTATTATTTATCACTAGACTCGCATTCTTTTTCTTTTCAGAATTTAGTGATTAAAAAATAAATATTTTTTTTAGTGTTCAGCGATGCGTTTTATTTTCGTGCGTGTATTTCTTTTAAAATTATTTGTAATGTTTTTGTTTTTTTTCAGCCGTCTCGTCAGACGACGTGTGACGTCACGGGCTGTATTCTGAGCGCTGCTGTGAGCGCGTGGTGGAGAGAGCACATGGAATCAGGTCGAGATTTAAGAGTCTGAGACTTTGACTGATCATCAGCTGCACAGACACACACGCTGCGACTGAGAGATGGTAACGGAATAAAGTGAAGACAGAGAAACACTGCGACCAGCACGGAGCCGAGCAGGTCAGTAAAATCTCTGCACATGTTTGAAGTCGACTGCATTCATCCTTTTTTTAAAAACAACACAAACACAGACAGACAGACACTGACAGGGCTGAGTGTTCTATCATGGTAACGTTTGTGTGTCTGTGACTTCATGGTTCTTTTAAAGCAGTGTTGAAATCTGTGAATGAAATGGTTAAACCTGGTGTGGATGTATTTGTGGTGACACACACACACACACACACACACTGACTGTTGCCACAACGTGTGTGTGTTGTTTTCGTCTGGCTTCCTCTCCATTGTCTGCCTTCACTGCTACTATCACTTCTGCAGAGACCAGAGTTCTGGTTGGTCTGATGCTGAGCCACTCACTTTAACTGCAGATTTAAGATTTTTTAAAATATATATATTTTTTAGGATTTTGTACAAGCTTTTCTTCTCCCTGGTCGACTTTGTCTGCTGCTGCTGTCAGGTCTGTGCCATATTGTCTGTCTGTCTGTGTCTGTCTGTCAGATGGTGCTGTGGTTTGTTTGTGATCATTTTCCAAAGATAAATTAGACAAAGCGTGAGTAAAACGCAGCAGGTAACGTTCTGCGTAACTGTGGTGAAGCTTGGTCTCGCTTTGTTCCGTAAACAGGAACACTTCTAGCAGCGTGTGAAAGGGTGTGTTTACACTCATGTTTGGGTTTTTTTTTTTTTTTAGAAAGGGTTCGTTCACGTGCACTTTGTCTGATCAGATCGAGTCAAAAACTGGGGGACGTTACTGTCTCGGTGCTGGTCCGTTTGGGGTTGGCACGAAGACCTGGCTAACTGGGATGCAAAAGTGTTGATTCACACCGGGAAAAGTCCCCGAACTAAACCATACAAGAACCTATTTATTTATTATTAAGTTTCCAAATGGTTCTGTTTGCAGAATGGTCTGGAATCCAGAATGATTTGTTGTGCTGTTTGTTTTTTTACCATGGTTCTGAATCTGAATGAGTCTGAGCTAAATCACCCGCTCTGTTTGTCCTAGAACTCTTTCGGACCACTTTGGTTTTTACTTCTGTAAATGTGAACTTCATGGACTTGTGAAGTCGAACTGAACCAAACCCTGGAACCTTGAAGTTCCTTCAAGATCATTTGCTAAGGTCAAAGAGTTCTGAACCTGAGACCAGGTCAGTCTGTGGTCAGTCTTGGTGGGCGGGTCTTTTGGTTTGTACCCCTTGTATCCTGGTCTGCTTCGTTGTCTGATCCAGACACAGTATAAACTGCAACAGGTCCAAGAATCCTATTGGACAGCCCTGATGATGTCAGTGATGATGCTGCGCCTGGAATCATAGTGACGAGTGCTGTTGCTGTACAACAAGAAGGTCACTGGTGTAATTCCCAGCTCCCACTGATCTATCTATCTACCAAGAGTCGGTGTCAAGGTGTGGGCCATGATCCGCACGTTTGTTAATCTAAACCGTCTTTCTAAGTTTTTTGTTTTTTTAACCGGTTCTTCAACAACCTGTGTGTGTTTTGTGCACCTGCAGCACAAACCAGGGTTGAGTGTTGACAGAGAGGATTGTTGTGCTAATCCGCTAATCTGGTGATGAACCGGACTGGGCAGTTAGTTTTAGTAAAAAGAAAAAAAGAAAATTTTGAATGAATGAACGGTGGAACGGCTATGTAATCGGTGCTTTCGTGTGATTGGTTAGTTGGTTTGATGAAAAGAAAATGGCAGATGTAGAAGAACAACTTTCTGCTAATATGCAACTGGAAAATAAAGTGGATTATCATCGGCTGAAGTGTGAGAGTAAGTCAAAAAGTTTTATGTCAAATTGAATAGAAACAAATGGTTCAGTCCAAACTCTTCTTCACCGTCAGAGAATTCCTTTGTTTTGACACCAGGTCATGACCTACTTTTTGGTCTGGTCTGTATCAACATGACATCATGACTTTCTATGATCTCTTTAAATCCTGATCCCGTCTCAGATCAGTCACTGCGTTTGTGAAAAAATGATCAAGATGGGCGTGGCCGACAACAGCGGTGTTTACCAAAATGAAGCCGACTTCGGCAGGGATAGCCAATTAGTTCAGCACTTAAACTTTCTGAGGTGGTGAACCTACTGAGTGTAATAACCACAGATGATGTTTGTTGATAAACCGAGCGCCACCCAATAATTAAACCCTGACTTTTTAAGAACTTACGAAAACTTTGTCATCACCTTTAACAGGATAAAGTCTGTTTATTTGTTTTTCTTTTATTCACGTGACTCACATACAGTTGAATAATTTTCTTATTTTTGGGACAGACTGGATTTTCACGTCTTCCAACCAATGCAGTGAGGTTTGTTCCCTGAATTTGAGTCGAAGGAGTTTTCCCTGATGACGTGTCAGTTTTTGCGTTTTTAAGTCATGTGTTGGCTGGAAAGAATCTGAGGGATGTGTGTGTTTTCTGGCCAAACTGAGCCAGACACCAGTGCCTCAGCTCCACACTCACATACTTTTCTGATAGTTTAAGAGGCCCAGGAATACATGGAGGTCTGTTCTTATGTAATGTGTGCTTCCCGGAGTCGGGAGCTGGAATAGATTAAAGCAGTTGTTCCTCCCGTCGCTGCTGCCAAGCAGACTTTTCTCCCTCTTTCTACGGCCCGGTCTCGTTTTACAGCGTCGTTATTATCACATGACATCATTTTCCTCTTACGGAGCGCTCCACCTCGTTTTCACATTTGCATGCTGTGCGTGTGAGCTGTCATCGTGACGAGCCGCGTTTGGCTGCCAGCTTCATTCCTGCACAGCCTCCTCACTCACAGACATTTCACCATGTGAGAGCGTTTAGGAAAGAGGCTGCTGGGAAATGTGACACGTGTGCGTTTGGATGCAGCACCAGCAGATACTCCACATCAAACACACACTTTGTCTCAGGGAGTAGAAACCGTGATAACACTGCGGTCCTTGTGCACATTTTTCCATGTGGCCGAAACTATTTTTTTTCTTTTTTTTCTTTCCATAGCTATTAGAACCTAGCTTCCAGCTATTTCCCACGGATGATTGACATTTTATACCTGATGATCCTCTGTAGAGTTCATGTTGCTCGACCTACAGTAAATGTGTTGTTCTGTTTTGATTGCTGTGAGACTTGTGATTCAAATGGTTTCTCACTAACACAGAGGACGAACAAAGATTACTGCTGTATTTAAAAAAAAAAAAAAAATCTGATTTTTCAGTAAGAGAGGATAAATCTGGGTACAAACCTTCTAACAAGTTTTATATATTTTATATATAGCTGTGGTTTGCGGTGCCTTTGACAGACTGAGAAGCTAACATCAGATAAAATCAGAAAAACTCTGTTGAACCATATGATGAAAATATCCCTTTTTTTTTCTTCTTCTTTTTGCTGCGAGAACTTCAAAAAGCGATGTCCAATAGACTGCTTTCAAAGGACCATATGGACGTTATGTAACCCCATTGGTCCCTGCGGTGAATGATGTCATTCACTGACTTCATGTGCTTTTTTCAAATAAGTTAAATAAGTTAAAAGCACACACACACATTCACCAAGAATTATAGAGAAAAAAAAATCTTAAAACGAGAACCATTTAAATTCTTCTTGGTCTGAACTTTTTCGCTTTGATGCTTGGCGTAAATATTTCCAGTGTTCAACGACATCACGGCGCGTTTAACCTTTAACTAAGTTAGTCCTGTTCGCTGAAGTCTTTTGAACGAGTGCAGCTCAACTGTTCAATGAAGTAAAAAAATAAAATCAAGGTTGTAGCATTGATGCAGGCGACAGTCATAGTTTAAAGGGAGGGAAAAAAAAAGTATTCACTTTTTTTTACCCCATTCCCAGTGGTTGGATGTTGTGAATTGAACCACATCTGTTAGTTAGTATTGAATGGATGTCATTGAAAGTGTGTGAAAAGGTTTTTTTTTTTAAACCGTGTTTTTATTAGTGAACATATTTTTTCATTGCATCGAGAGGAAAGTTCTTTTCTGTTTTTTTTTTTTTTTTTGGTGATTGCTCAGAAGCCAAGGATTGGTTTCAAATGACACGTTCTTTATTCAAGGATTATTTGCCGCCTTGAAGTCTTGAAGCCCTGAAGTTTAGTGAGAGGTGAAACTCTAACATTTATTACCATACCTGCTGCTGGACTAACTTGCCTACAGCTAACAAACAATTTGGAAACTTTGGAACACCAACAACTGAACAGGTGAAAGGAGGCAACTTTTTTATCTCCTCACAGCTTCCAGACGGAACGCTGTGTTCCCTCAGTGCTAAAGTTCTTTTTCTTTGGCACCGTTGGGGGCGCCGGGGGTGCGCCACCAGAAAGAAAGAGAGAGAGAGAGAGAGAGAGAGAGAGAGAGAGAGTCCTGGCCCTGGGCTTGACACCTATCATGTAAACTACAAACTTGTCTCTATAATAATTAGCTGCTTGTGTCAACTAACGCTGACTTCCATCCCGGAGGCTCACGGCACGCTCTCGTTACAGAGGGAGAACGACCTGGTTGAGCTTCAGTTTAACTGATATCTGTTCATCAACTCATGCTTTTTCTAATATGTCGGACAGAGCAATTCACAATATTATATATTTATTTGTATATTCTGGAGTCTAACTAGCAGGGCAGTGGTTGCTTAGTGGTTAAGGAAGCGGATTTGGGTCTGGAAGGTTCCTGGTTCGAGTCCCCGCCCATAAGCTGCCCACTGTTCAGTTTGCTGATGGGTTAAAAACAGAGGTCACATTTCGTTGTGTGTGTCACAATGATAAATAATTCACTTTCATTTTCAAACTGGTTGTCTTAAAATATCTCTAATCCACATGCAAATGTTCCAAATTTGATAGAAATATTCAGTCTATTCCATTTGCCTCCCAGGGTAAGAGAGTGAACACACAGTGTGTCTTTTAGATTAATGCCCTAATAAGATTAAACATATTTCAATGACATGACTGGGTGTCACACACCAGTTTGCTGCTTGGAGTTTCTGTATAAAGTTTTCATGTTATTCCAGTTTGGACTTTCTCTCCAGTTTCCTCGGTGTTTGACTGATGAGGATCCATAAAACTGTTTACCATCTCAGAAAGTAAACTGTAGTCGAGACTTACTTTATTTGTCAGTTAGATGGTGAAAATCTAAATAACAAATAAAGTCTAAGTCTAAGAGTGTTTCAGAATCAGCACCAGAAATATTTGATTGAAACTCCGGGGGACGGGGTAAATATGAAGTATAGCAGCGTTAAAAAACGAGCTTTATAAAACCTGACATGGAATCAAATACTTCACAGTAAAGAATATTAAAATATTAAATATTATAATATTAAAATAAGTTTCTCAGAATAAAGACTTCTAGGTATCTGCCTTAGAAGTCTGAGTCGTTCACACTGTTTGTTATTGTTGAAATGTTAACGTTTCGCTAAACAGGATTTTTTTTTTAATGACATTGATACATTTGGTACATGGTCTGTACTGGTATAGTAGTAGTAGTATAGTAGTATTAGTGTATAGTTCCTCCTAGTTCTGGTGACCACTCAAAACAGTTTACACTAGTGGTTTTACCATCAACCTGCAATGCCTGGAATTGAACCCACAACCCTGTGGGTGTGAGACAACTGTATTACCTGTCAACCCAATGTAGTAATGACGTTTTTTTATAGCTAATTAAACAGTGAATTTTCTGGGAAATGATTGTAACAATTTAAAAATTTATAAATTAGCTGTGGTTTTTTTCCAGAGTCTCTGGGACTAAGTCCAGAACTCACTCCTCACATGAGCAAAATGTGGAAACTCTGCGCAGAAACGTCCTGGTCTGAGCTGGAATTGGAGCTAGTGACCCGACCGCCTCACCACCGTGGGGCCCAACATCCATCCGTCCATCCTTTTACTGCTCATCTTTTGAGCGTTGTGGGAAAAAAACTGACGCCGGGTGAGAAGGGCCGCCGGCGTACGGCCGGAAGTCGGCGGGGATTTAAATAGTAAACAAAAAAAAAAAGGCGGCCGTAGTGAATGAGCCACACTGGGATGAAAGAAACGTATCCTGTGGTGAATCATTTCCTCTTACAACTCTCGGAATGCTGGAAGGAATACTTTCCCTTTGAAATCCCCTGTAAGTCAAGGAATCATTTTTCCACACTGGATGAGCCATTGACCCATTTATTCATATCCGGTCCCACATGAAGAAGCTCCGTCACACTGAGATGAGGAGTAACACATTAACCCATGATGTCACATCTTACAGCTGAACCCTTTTATCAGCGGGAAAATCTACAGGCCTTGTGTTCTAGCCCTGTAATCCACAAAAGAGATGGATTTCATGGGTTTCATCCCGTGACATCTCTCTCTATTTTCTGCTCAGCCCGCCACAGTTTACTCTGCCAAATGACACGCCGCTGTAAACACAGCCGTGAGGTCAGCGCGAGCAGCAGCAGCAGCAGCCCTCAGCTGAGCGGAAACCCGAACCTCCAGCCGCTGCTGCTGTCGCTTTGCCGCTTCGCAGGTGGACTTTGGCGCCAAACGTCGCCATCTTTGCCGGCACCTGCCGAAGAAAGGTAATGTGGGAGGGCGGCCGGCGAGGAAAGGGCGAGCTGCGATGAGTCACTGTGGGCAAACAATGTGTTGGATTTGTGCTGTCGGTTTACCTCAGGCGTGGAGGGAGAGGAACAGACACAAATTGTTTGACTGACCTACATTCTGTGTTTATCTGTCCTGCCACTGAGCTGGTGGAGGGAGCGGTGTTTGAAAGAAAACATGCTCTCACACTTAATAAGCAGTTTTCACAAAAAAAAAAGAAAAGAAAAGGAGCAGCTACAGTCCCATCCACACCTTTTGTTTGCCTGCAGCAGTGAAAGCTGAAGCCCACACACACTGGGATGTCGTTGGCGCCGTGCCACTGGTGACGAGTGATCGGACACGTGTTACCAGTATTTCCACATTAGCTCTGTGACGTTGGGGACTTCATGGGACTCAGCTGAGTCTCTAATGGTTTTCCTGGTCTCTCATCTGCTCCTACCTGTTTTATTTTAGGGCCCGAAGAATTATTATACGCAACCCTCTAATAATCTCAATAATCATTTAGACCTGAGGCTACGATTACATTATTACCAAATGAGACCTCACACACACCTGACCTGCAACACGAGCTCACAGAGAGTGCAAATTCAAACCTTTTTTTTTTTTTTTTTTGCTAAACAACAAAAACTGACTTTTTCTAGATCTATTTATTCATTGATATTTGACTCGTACTCGTTACGTCACCAGGACGTTCCTGGGCGGTTCAGTCCGATCAGACCCGGCTCACATGCTTGTTCCAGATTAAAGCACAATGTCAGTACTGTAAAGCGTTGGCATGAGGCTGAAAAATGTTCCCCTTTTCTTTCCTGTTTGCCTCCAGGCCTCAGCTGATTCATTGACTTCAATGGTTAATTAAAGCCCCGTCGACTGGAGGGGGCAGCGACGAGCGACGGGAAACCGACCCTAGAATGGTTCTGATGGTTCTACCCCTTCTTCCTGTTCAAATCGAAAAGTCCGCCCTGACCTGTGGAACAGTCTGGTAGGTAAGTCATTTTTACATATTAGCTTCCCACATGCTAACTGCTATTTGTGGCTATTTTGGGACAACCCTGAGGTCATTTTCCGATCCTTTGTAAATGTTTTAGTTGGCATTTTAGGTATTTCTTTGTCCTTATCTTGTGCATTTTACGATCGTGCTTTTACCTTTTAATTTTACGACTACTTGTAAATTGGCATTGGTGACTAAGAGAGAACTCCCATCATTAGAATTTCACTGACGTTTGGCCTCCAGGCATCGCTAAATTCAGGCCCTGCTCTCCAGATTGCTGGCTGTCAGCTGATTACAGGAGGTCGGGGGGCGGGGGCGGGGGGGTCACTTACTATTTACATCGGCACACGAGCACCGAAGTGGATGTGTAATACAAGTATTTAAGGCTGTTAACAGTGTGAGGCGATACTTCAGATAATGGAGGTAAATTCTCGTTTAAAGGGAAACCATTTCACTGGTGTTAGCATGATGCTAATAACACTAGAACTTGATAGACTCAGCAGTAGAACCTGTTTTTCTTTTTTTTTTTTTTTTTTTTTTTTTCCC